TATTCTTCTGCAACTGATCAACCTAAGCCTTCGCTACGACAAGACTAGATCTGCGTATGGTTCTACGAACTTGTTACATATACACAGCATTTATAAATAAAACAAAAAAACTGAAAAATTATAACAAACCTATAGTTGAATAACAGTATAGGTCTTGCGTGAAAATAATTAGTGGAGCTTCTTCCCACCATGCCCTGATTTCAGGGATATTTTGGCACGCCTGATTAGACAGAAACACAGCCCAGCCTGGCATGCATGTCTTGATTTAGAGATTGAACCTTTCATGAACTGACTAACATGGCTGCGACAGATAAACCCAATATAAAGGAACATCTCTTTTTAACAAGTTGACTAAATACAGCAAAACCACATGTGAAGGTAGTGAAGAGGTAAGTTGTGTATTTATAAAACGTGTAAGAATATTAGATGTTATACATGCACTATTTGTATGACAAAGAGAAGGGGGGGGGGGACTACAAAGCAAAATAATTGACACAGCCAAAGCTTTACAAACCCTTTCGCCAAAGCTTTACAAACCCTTTCCCCTTGATTTATTTTGGGGAATTCAGAAATACGGCTTTCACGACTGCTTGGAATTTCTTTGTGGGGAAGTCTACCATGTTAAACGAGCATTTGAAAGCAGACTGGTAGCACAAAAGGCAATCTCTTGGCTTTCGAGTATCTAAACATAAAAATATCTCACGCAACATGACAAAACAAAACAAAAGTGTAGATCAGGTGAGGATCAAAAAGATACCTTCAAAAATACCTACTCGTCAGAATGCAATTCAAATAAGCACATATGTTTCTTTATTCCTCCCATCAAGACCTTTTTGTGGTTCATGTTGAAATATTTGATGTGTCTTCATTATTGAAGACTGTGGATTTGCTTGAGTAAGGCTTTGATTTCCTGTAATATTTTATCTAAACTTGATGGTCTTTTTAAAAAAAAAAAAAAAATTGTACATCATTGCAGAATATGTTGTGCTAATCCAAAAGACATAGTACTAACAAAGTTGTCTATTAGATTTTTAGGTTTTTACTTGCATGCAAAACCTTTTTTGCTCCCTCGGTCTACAGGGCCGGCGCTTCCTATAGGTGACTTAGGCAGTCGTCTAGGGTGTCTGTTAGGAAGGGGCGCCGGCTCCCCTCATGCTGCAGCCTGAGCACTCTAAAGAGAGCCTCAGGCGGCTGCAGCACTGCCCAGGCCGACACATTCATGAGGGCGCACAGCGCTCCCTCCTGCCAGTCCCTCAGTGTAGTGTGGCTGAGCTCCGGTCCGCGGTTTCCTGCACCCACTGAGTCAACACTTCCTGTCAGTTTCAGCTGGGTACAGGAATTAAACCTAGAAACACCTGTACTGCGGACCGGACCGGACCAGAGCTCGGCAACGCTACACAGGGAAGGGAAGGGGGGGAAGAGAGACCACTGGGGGGGTGGGTGGGTTGGGGAGGAGAGTAGAGTAGAGATCACTAATTGAAAAGGGGGGAGAAGAGGAGAGTACACTAAGGGAGGCGGAGGAGGAGAGTAGAGACCACTGGGGGTGGAGGGGAGGGAAGAGGAGAGACCACTAAGGGAACGGGGAAAGCTCCATCAGGGGTGGAGGGTAGGAGAGAGCACTAAGGGATGGGGGGAGCACCAAGGGATGGCGGGAGGGTAGGAGAGAGCACTATGGGAATTAGGTAGGGAAATCACTAAGGGACAGGGGAGATCGCTAAGGGACAGTGGGGCAGGGGAGAGCACTAATGGACAGGAGGGGAGAGCCGTAAGGGACAAGAGGGGAGAGAGGCTGAGGAAGGGGGAAAGAGAAGCACAAAGGGGCTGGTAGGACTCAGCCCCTGTCCTACCCCACAATCTCTCTCTTTCACACTACACACACAATGCTTCCATATACATACACAAACACACAATGCATCCCTACACACACAGAAACACACAATGCATCCCTACACACACAGAAACACACAATGCATCCTTTGCACACACAAACACACAATGCATCCCTTACACACACACACTCAATGCATCCCTTACATACACAGAAACACACCTTGCATCCCTTACACATACAAAAACAGATTCACACAATGCATCCCTTAAACACAACCAGAAATACACAATACATCTCTTACACACAAACATACACTGCTTTCTATCCCTCACACAAAAACACACTGCATGGGTGGAACTTCTAGGTGAACTTATGGGTGGGCCTTATGGGCATACTCACCTATGGCAGCAAAAATCCTTGCACTGGCCCTGCCAGTCTATTATTGCTAAGCCTATCATACCAGTTTTCAGATTGTTCTAAAATCAGGTTTTATGAAACGTTTGTACAGCCCTAAAAAAAATAAAAATAAAAAAAACTTGGAAATGTTGTTTGGCCATGGAATCTGGCAAAGCTTGTGTGGAACTATTGTGCTGTATAAATCCCAAGATACTATGCTCTAATTAGTATAGATGTAATCACTGAAATCTGTATTAAAATGAGTCCTCTCACATTAGCCCGGATTTAAGGTAATTCCTGTGCACCTCTGGGGACTGGCACTTATGACAGGTTTCTCTTGTAGTATAATTAGACACAAATCAGGTGAGCATTTCATTCTGTGATATATTTCACTGGAGACCACATCTTATTTTCATAAGGGATGAAATGTCTGCACGTTAAACAGTTCCTATTTCTACAAATATACATGTGTCAAATTGCTGGCATACCTTGCACAGGCATATTCACTGAACATTTGTAATCTACATGGCCTGAAATTGACAGTCAACATCTTGAAAAAACAAAACACATTTGATTATCCTTGTGTCTAAATTGTGGTACCTGCACATATATATACTTCCTTGTTACATCCTTACAATTTTCAAAACATCCATGATGAAAAATCGTACAAAAAAAATAAAAATATCCACCCTGCATACACCAGGTAAGTAGCAACAAGGGCATTAAAGTATTAAAGCTACAGGAACTATGCACTATCCCAAAATAAAATTAACAGTCCCTTTGCCATGTATATTAAGGTATCTCTATGAGGAGCAATAGAAATTATAATCTGAATGTCGTATGTGGGTTCTGTATATGTTATATGTGCAAAGTTGGTAGGAGATGGGTATTATACATAAGGCAGATGACTGCCGAGGATTGTACGTCACATGAATGTGTTCTTGTTTGCAAATTGAATTTGTCAAGGACCATTTAATTTTTGTTGCGGTCATTAACAAAATGTGGTTGGTAAATATAAAACACACACACACCAGCAAATGTATAGCTTAAAAGACGCGCTTGTCTAAAGAGCACCTTTCTCACTTCTATAAATGAAGACTAAAAGCAGATGCAAAATGTTGCCTATGCATTTGTCTATACACTTAAAGTGACATGATGCATTTTAATATAATGTAACTTGTCTTCCAGGCCCATGTTAAAAAATAACGATTACAAATGGAAACATTGTTTAAAATTAGTGGGAATATTGATCGACAGACTATTAGTAGGTTATGTTAACATTACTCAAAGGAGTTAGAAACAGATCAGTATAAAAGCTATTCTGCTAAATATGTTTTGAATATACCTTTCAAACAAAAAAAAAATACATATATTTATATGTAGCAGCATGATTAAAGATTTCCTTACAATTCTAATTAATGACCACACCACCCAACACCACTCTGGTATGCGTTGGAGCTTAAGAAATATATAAATTTCACTAATAAAACCAAACACACACTTTGGGGATTCATGTGGTTATATTTCCCAGCGCCATAAAAATCCTGAGCAATAGAATTAATCTGGTGCCAGGGTTTATAAACTGCCATAAATTCCCTGATTCCCAGTATTCTCAAAAAATTTTAAAAAAAATGCAAACTCAGTAGGAAAAAAGGGTAATTTGAGGACAATGCAAGTAGCAAGAATACAATGAATGTTTATGCCAATAGCTTTTTTTTTAGTTTTTTTTTAGTGTTAATAAACTATGAAGAGTTGTGATAGAATGCGAATCAGAGCGCAGGAATGAAGTTTATATCAAACAATATCCCCAGTCAGCCCACATCCTGCACGGTCACAGCCTCTAGAACTGGCAGAGATTAAACACTGATCTATCTACCATATGCCGCTTGGCTCGATACATAGCATCCCAAACAGCATAACATCGTCCAGAGGCCTCCCTCTCCCTTTGCTCTGCGGTGAGAATCTCCCATCCCCCCTGTGGCTCGATACTTTGTAGCCATTTACCGATCATCATGCATCTTTCTACTCCTTCTGTATGATTTAAACATACACAATCCATACAGCACAAGCAGTTCTTAGAATAGTTTGACTCGATTACCTTGAAAAAGGTCGAATGACGAGATTGACTCTCTTTAAAACAGAAAAATGAATACCAAATGATGGAGAGATCCCGAAGAGTTATTAGTCATACACATTTATTGTCTGAAAATGCTTGTAGTTAATAACATTAAAAAAAATTATCTTTGTGACTGCAGCAGCCATTTTGGATATAAAATGTGTTTTATGGAGAGACAGCGGATTTTTACAGAAAATGGCTACTTTCTGTATTCTATGAAATCTAGCACTTTAATTTACACGCACACATATATAATAATCGGGAGGGAATTTGGGAGACATGATCAGAATACAAGAGAGTAGAGTTGAGTGGTTTATAAATGTTTCCTGAACGCCTGAGATCCCATTATTTTCCAATAATAAACACTTCACCGTTACATATGTTTTGTAGTACATGATGTGTTTAGGTTACTGAAAGAGTTAAGGTAGTGTTTCGTGTTAGTGTACTGGTTAAGTGTTACTATAATACAAGGGTTAATATGTAGTGAAGGAGTTAATATTTAGTACAGTGTGATAAGAGGAGGGCTTAACTGTAATCTCAGCACAGTCCAGTGCGGGAACCATGTCAGACGAGGACATTAAAATGGTGGCGGGTAACAGTAAGGGGTATAACTCCCACTAATCTTGGACACAGCAGATCTCTGCATGTGTAGATAGTGATGTGATATATATTTGTGTGTGTGTGTGTGTGTGTATGTATTATATATATATATATACACACACACACACACACACACACTATATGTACATTAAAACACCAATTGTGTGTTGTGATATGATTAGTACAAGACAGGCATTTGCTCCTGAAGGTTACTACACATGGACGTCTGGACTCTCCAAATAAGAATTATATAATAGTCTGAGATATCTGTCCTTACTGGTGAGCAGGTTGGGGAAAGCAAACACCTTGGAGCAGCTATCCTGTTGTCACACAACCCCTTAAAGGACCACTATAGGTACCCAGACCACTTCAGCTCAATGAAGTGGTCTGGGTGCCAGATCCATCTAGGGTTAACCCTGCAGCTGTAAACATAGCAGTTTCAGAGAAACTATGGACATAAGCGTCTTCAGTGAGAAGCGCGGAAGCACCTCTAGCAGCTGTCAATGAGACAGCCACTAGAAGCTGGATTAACCCATGTGTAAACATAGCAGTTTCAGAGAAATGGGTTAATCCAGCGTCTAGTGGCTGTCTCATTGACAGCTGCTAGAGGTGCTTCCGCGCTTCTCACTGAAGACGCTTATGTCCATAGGAAAGCATTGAGAAATGCTTTCCTATGGACTGATTGAATGCGCGCGCATTCAGCGCTAACATAGGAAGAGGGAGGAGAGTTCCCCAGCGCCGAGGGAGCCCGGCGCTGGAGAAAGATAAGAATTTAACACTTTCCTCCCCTTTCAGCCAGGCGAGAGTGAGGGTGGGGGGACCTAAAGACCCTATAACGAGTTTGTTTTCCTGGCACTATAATGGTCCTTTAAGCTTTGCACCCACATCACATTGATTAGATTAACACACTGCATTTCGTACAATACAATATGATATCATTTGAAACATGCAGTTCATGTTATTTATTAGGCCAGTGAATTTCACAGTATAATATTCCTAGTGTTGCTAATTTGACAGAATGCATGTCTCCAGCATACCTATAAAATAGAATTGATAAAAAAAAATAATAAAAAAAAAATTACTTAAAAACAGTCATTTCAATCTTGCAGTACAAATAAGCTACAGCTGGTCTCAGCCAGAAATGAAATACCAGGAATTAGCTTTTGGAATCCCTGGCAGGACACATTTCTGCGAAACCTGCAGAAGAGAGGGTACTGATGAACAGAAAGTGGAGATGGCTTGATTGTTCTGGGCTGCTGAGTTTTAAACGCCTTTCTGTCACCATTCAGATTGAAGGAAGATGTCCACCAGTGAAATTCTTCAATGATACGGTATCAGAGAACTGATTAAAATGGGCAATTTACAGATAAAGACAGACATTTATCCCAAACTTGTGTCAGCTGCAAGGCAAGTTATTGTACTGAGATGTACAATACGTGTCACAGTTATCCCAGCCCATTGTCAGATTCTCTCAAGAACATTTCTTTGCTAAAAATGCCTTTTCAGATTGTAAGTTGTACATTACAGCTTACGCACACATCTTTAAGTAACACAAACAGAATTAAAGAGTGAGGACAAAGCCGTTCAAATCTGGTAATTGAAAATCCAATGTGTGGCTACACTTTGTCCATGCTTAGAGAATACAAACAGCAGAAATATACATAGGATAAGCAAATATGTATATCATCAATTGCAATGCATTAAAGGAGCACTATAGTGCCAGGAAAAAAAACGAATTTTCCAGGCTCTATAGGGTCATTAGGTCCCCCACACCCTCAGATCCTGAGTAACTGGTCTTTCCCCCCACTTCTGGTAATTTAAAAATATGTTTTTCTCCTAGCGGTCAGTCATTGCCTTGGCGTGCTGACAAGGGAGAGCAGAAAAGACCTACCACAGGAGGTCCTTCTGCTCTCCACCCATAGCAACCACAGCGCATGCAATGTGGTTGCTATGGAAACTGCCTGCCAACTAGGGAGTACAGGAATGGAGTGACATGTCGTCACCACATTCAGACGCCAGGACACTGGCAATGAAGCCAGCGTTTCAACATCACTGATGAGATTTGCTCTGCTAGCGGAGGACAGCCAGGTGGTGGATGGTACAATAAGAGTAGCACCCACCAAGCATTGCTGGAACTGAAGAAAAGTGAGTAACGCTTTACATATTACATTAAATACACCATGCATAGTTGTGATATATGATGTATTCCATGTATATGGGCATGATTTCAGGTAAGTTAATTTTATCACAACAGGTTCACATTAATTGCGAACCAGTGGGGGGGTAAATCACAGTTTTCTATAGAAATATTTTGGATGACTAATGAAGTGACACTTCCTCAATTATGATGTTCCTAGCTCAGTATGTCAGTTCTGCAAGCCGAGCGTCATACACAATTTGTTAAAGTGCTAAAAAAAATAATTAAAAAACAAACAAACATTGGCCTCTTGCAGTATAGTCACTACAACAAGCTGCAGTGGTTATGGTGCTAAGGAATCCACCAAACAACTGCATATGAACAGTGCAGTGTGTTAATGAATACATTTTCCATTTCATGACAGAGTGCTTTAACAGAAATATTAATTGAAAATCAGCACATTCCTTTTCTTCAGGCCACAGAACAATGCTTACTAAAATTAACACAGGTTACTTCCTGCATGGCCAAAGGTAGATGAATGATTATGGCCTTCTTTTTGCCCTGAGGATTAGCTGTTGGGAAATCCTAATGTATCATCTCTTTAATGCACAGTTTACATTTGCATTAACCAAGAAGATTAAATGTATCTCTAGTAAACTGAGACAGTTAGAGGGAGGTTTAGCAAACATCGCCAAGGTTTGAGGAGGAGACAGGCCTATGGGAATAGGATCAGGATGACGGATACATACATTATCCTCTCAAAAGGAAGCTGGAAGGATGTCACAGATCTCCAGAAATTGGTAATTATTGCTTTAAATATACAGAGAATTTCAGTTACAAGTTTGACGAGGCTCACAGATTTGTTTCCCTGATCATGAAGGAGCGAATTAAGAGCTACTATAAAATGTACTGGATTTAAGTGAATGTAAATAGAAAAAATGAAAACAGACAAATTATTTGTGGGTGAGAAGTGATTAAAGTGGAGATAAAATTCTCTGGAAAGGACACGGCTGAAAATCACCTATAGCTTGTCTCAACTTTGTTCAATTGATGATAAGTTTCCGTTTAAGCCCACATGAATGATATAGCAACTGATATCACAATCCAGTTCAGTCCTGGCACAGCCAAGGAACTCACTGCATTGGAGAATGAGTAAGAGAAACATAGTATCCCCTCCTCTTTCTTTGCCGACAGACAGATGCAAAAGCGCTAACAATAAATGGCAGGAAGCCACGGTGGGGTGCTCAGGTCCACGAGAGAGAAATAAGAATTTATACATTTCACTTTTTAGGTCTGACAAGGGACATATAACCAGAACCTGCTAAAAATGTCTCTCCTTACATATGGAATTTCACAATATATATTTTTGCCTGGTGTCACATTTACTAATGTCAATTATATTGTATGTGTTAAACACTTTCCCAATTGGTTCTTCAAACACATGAAGAGAGGACACGTGTATGTATTCAAACAATGGGTTACATACAGAGATATTAAATGGCATAAAGCGGCTCTGTCTTTTTTTTTTTGGTTTTGGTTTTCCTTTCCATATGCCCTTATTATACTCTATTCTTTACAATTTGTTTTAATTTATATTAATTATCTGTTCTTCTTTGTGCTTGGATCACAATATCAGGGCAAAGCCATTTTGTTCTCTGCTGACCATTTAGTCTGTGGCTTGCCTTGCTACGGGATACATTTTACTGATGGACTGTGGTCCATTTAATTGGTAACAGTAACAGAACCTTGCTTGTATCCACATACATTGCCAGATTTAGTCAAATTGACAGCCATAAATAAGGAAAAAAATAAATACATTTTTTATTTATTTTTTTTAAACAGGGAGTAATATAGAAGTGTTATAAAGTTTATTTTTGGCGACAGAGCTGCTTTAAGAGGGCAGAAAAAAAAGTAATCAAAGAACCAGAAAATGATAAGTTTGTAGTTATATGCTGACAAAATAAATTTCAATTGAAAAAAAAAAAAACGTCTGTTAGGCACCAATAGTTTTATATATAGGAATTCCTATCCATGGGTGTTTGCGAATCCTCCCTGACTAGTGAAAATACTGTGGATTATAATGTCACTGAGCACAGATGATTACAACAACAATGTTTGAATGACTTTGAAAACGACCTGGGACATAAACAGTGCCTCCCATAATTTTAATGTAGATGCCAACATGGAACAGATCATGAATGACTCTTTGTCAAATAGGTAATTATTAAAGTCATGTGTCAGTGGACAGCCCACTTTCTTGCAAATTATTAATTACAAAGTGCAGACACTTTAATTTTTGCCTCATGTATCCTGTGCTGCATAACATAAAAACTGTTTTTATAGCTACATTAATTTCCCTTTAATTAATCAATTATCACTCGTAGAAAAATTGCTGAAACTCATGCACGGCTAGCTGCCTCCACCTTTATATAATGAGCAAAGTTCCGATAGATTTGACATTTTTGTCACTGATGATCACTACCAGGGAAACACCGTTAAATGTATATGACATCTTATTTTCATAAGCTTATGAGCTTTTACTACATGCTTTGAGGCAGATGCCAGATTTTACATGAGATATGAAGGAAACATCAATTTATTGGCAACAGTAAATCGATAAAACAAAACCCAGCCACTCACTAAACACAAGATAAGAATGATATAAAATGTCAACATTAAATTAAATAGAGTATTCCATTACATTACTTCCCAGTAAATCTTTGGCTGGGCCCCAAGCTATACAGATAACCTTGTACTAATAGTGCCGCACCCTAAACAGCGCACTATTCCCACTCCCAAATGTACTGCATTTAAAATTTACATTAAATGTACAGAGGGCTAATCGCTAAACTGTGGATTGTCACGAAATGACCAAGGAACTCACACATTTAGGCCAAAATAGCTAAACTAGAAACAGCCTTAAATAATTTTTCTAAAGGATTCTATGGTAATTTCTTGTTAATTCCTGTTCTGTTGAACACATCCTGCTAGAATTTAAAGGAACACTATAGGCACTCAGACCAC